ATGTCCCATTGCAGAGGGGGCCACATGGGTGGGAGCCACCTGCAGGGTGAGTGGCTTTGTGTCACTTCCTCTGTGAATATGAGAGAGGCGTCAGGGGAGCTGGGTCTGCTGTCCATAATTGAGAAGGAGACAGGGCAAAGGACAGGGAAGAAAAAGGACAAATTCAAGCCCCAGCACCTTTGCATCCATCTCTGTCTCCAACCACAAGGACCTTTAGAACAAAATGAAGGCGCTCTCCCCGACCCCATATCGTGTTTCTGCTCAGCTCTCCACACAGTTCTAAGCTTCTCCCATTAACCAATTCCAAAGGCTCCTCACGTGGTCAGGTAGAAAAAGGCTCCCAGCTCTGATTTTCTGTTAGACAGCTTTGTTACTGTAACAAAAACCTGACATGGTCTTTCAAAGAAGCCTCACGGGTCTGAGGTTTTGGTCTGTGATTGGTTGGCCCTGGTGCCCTGGGCCGTGGCGAGGCAGCACCTCAGAGCAGGACCGGGTGGGGGAGTGAAGCCATTCATTTACTACTATGAAACAGAGGAGAGGAAGAAGGGCCAGGGCCCCATTATCCCCTCAAAGGCACACCCCCAATGACCTAAAGGCCTCCCACCTCTTTCGGTTTCTACCATCTCCAACACCATCTCCAACACATGGGCCTTTGGGATCCAAACCCTAGCAGGGGGTGTTCATAGCCACCTCTCCCCACCCACTCCATTCCCCTTGTTCCCGGCAAGCAGCTCAGCTAGTCACGGTCCTCTGCCTGGTGGGACGACTCAGCTTTCGTTCTTCAACCGTCTGGGACATCACCAGTCCTCCCTGAGCTGGGCTCCATGGTTGCCCTCTGTTGGCTTCAGTCATGGACCAGGACCTCCTGTATGACAGAGACACCCTTCCTTACCCCTTGTGCAGCTGCAGTGAATTCCCCGGTTGTCCAGTTCCTCACCCCAGCCTGCAGTGACTCCATTCCATGCCCATGAACACAGAGGCACTAGGAGCCCACAGGGGCAGGGGTGGCACCTAACTTCCAGCTCCGTGGTCATCATTGTGTCTCCGAGAGGAAGACAGGCCCACAGGGCATGAGGTCGTGGAGACAGGAAGCACACATTGTGCTAATGGATCGCTAGGGCTAATAGGGAAACCACTCCCAGGTCCACCCCTTGCCTCCTGGACCTCAGATTCTGCTTATGGGAGAAACAGCTCACATATGGGACACTGATTCCTTGCCCTGCAGACAGCCTTCTGTGGAACCTGGACCCAGCCCTGCTCTGCCAGGTGCTGCCACCTTGCTGGTTGTGACTGGGACCTCAGAAAGCCATGCCACCCTTCTGTCACATCCAGAGTGATGGGGACTGCAGAAAGCACGGCCCATGCCATGCTGCATTGCTGTGAAGGGTCCCTCGGTCTCGGCAGGGCTGTGGTGATGGATAAGTCACTCTTTACAAGGCCCTGGGTTTCGATGTAAACCTTGAATGAGGAAAGATGAATGCATAGTCCAGTAAGAAAGGACAAACTTCGCCCCTTCCGTGATGGAGTCAGTTCAACATAGTTCACCAGCCCCCAGGAAGCTGTCTGCCCACTGGGGAATGATGCCATGCTGGACTCAAGTGTTGTCTCTGCAGCCTCGGTGGTGGCCACAGCTGGGGCAGCCTCGGTGAAAAAGTCCATGCTGCTGAACCAATCCATGGCCTCTGTTCCCGGCTACTTTGTCCATGAGCCCATGGGACAATGACGGGGGGGATGTCATCCTTCCTCTTGATTTAAGTCCTCTACTGAGGTCACCCCTTGGCGTGTATTCACTTGGAACACAAGCATCTTCACTTTTAAAGTCCACGCAGAGAGGTTCATCCACACATCTCTTCCTCAGACTGCCTTGCCACCCATCTCCAGTCTTGTTCCTTTCACAACTCTGAGCCTGCACAGCCCGCGAGTCGGGATGCAGTTGCACCTCTGGCTATTTCTCCTCCCAAGGGAGCTGAACAGCGAGGAGCACTGCTCAAGTCCTGTCCGCAGGAGGAGTCCCCAGAGAAAGGCCAAGGGCTGCAGCTGCCTGCTTTCAGGAAGTAGTGCCCCAGCAGCACACAGAGCCCTCGTGACCTGGCCTGAGCATCCTTTTCTTCTTCCAACTGGTCCCAGGGAAACTCCCATGAAGCCATGGTTGTGGCTGGGAGCAAGGGGGGCTGGTGGGCATTTGGACCACTTCTCAACATAACTTACTTGTGCCTTCAGGCCCTGCTCAGGTCGTATCTCCTTTGTACCCCTGTCATGTGATGATGGGGTGACCTGCGCCTGCCCACCTGTGTGACATGGTGGATCAAATAACCCGACTTGTGATGGGCAGCCCAGGTCGTATGGTCAGCAGATGGCTCACAGTTAAGTGTTCAGTCTCTACTAAGGTCCTGGAGAAGTTAAAGCTGCCTTGCAAAGCTAGAGGAGTCACCTGCAGAGGTGGCTCTGCTCCAAAAGCTGAAGAGCTCGTGTTAGGATTCACCTAGAAAGGCTGCTACAGTCTCCAAACAGCTCGGCGTCTGTCCAGGGACACTCCAGGCACTGTTGTTTCTGCCGCTGCCCAGGGCCCAGCAGCCAAGCAGCCTGCACAGCAGCCTAGACCTGCTGAGAGCTTCTCTGTGTTCTGGGCCCACTCAAGACTAGCGATGCTGGGGATGGAACCCAGGGCCTCGAACATCCCAGGCAGGCACCTGATCCCTGGTGCTACACCCTCAGACTCCAACCGGCAGCTTTTCAGGTCACTTGAAAATGGTATGGAGTAACTTTATCCAAATGAGCAGCCTGTTGCTTCCATAATCCAAAAGAGGTGCGGTGCCTTTTGTTTTGTTTTGCTTTTTAGTCAAAAGAGGGGTCAGGTGTAATAAGTTGTCCTTTGCCTTGGAAGAGATGTCTCAACCTGCCTTCCTTCCCAAAACCCCCTACTAGATCTCTTGGAAAGCCACTGAGATGGAAACCCTGTTCCCACCCTCTTGACATGTAAATGTCTCACCAGTAAGTCCAGAGTGATGACTACTTCCCACTTACTAGGTCTGATCAGTGTCGTGTCTTCCATGGAGTAGACTAGCTCGATACCTCCCAGAAGTGGAAGGTGGTCGTGACCCCTGAGAACCTGATTATAGTGCAGTGCTGGAGAGGCGACAAGCTGCCCGCCCTGCCAGCTGAAAGCAGGGATGGAGAAAAAAGGTGTTTGCCAAGTCGACAGCTGCATACCAGGTAACTGGAGGTGTTAATTGGTGCAAGTGACAAAGCCACTTCTGGCACCTCCGCTGCAATTGGTGTCACCACCCAGCTACTTACGATAATCACCAGAATTTATCTGTTCTGGCACAGGTGGAACAGATGAGCAGAAGAGAAGTCTGGCTGCTATCACCACCACCCTGCACCCTTCAAGTCCCCTGACGGTGCCACTGATCTCTTTAATCCCTCCGGGATTGGGGTTGTTTCTGCTAACTGTGTTCCTAAGGAGAGACAACTGTAGTGCTTTCCACTTGGTCTTTCTTACAAAATAGGCCTCACTCCTCACTCAGGTCAGGGTCCCATGGGAACTCTGCCTGTGGCTGCGTTTGTCTATTGCAGTTCTGGGACCAGTGGATCCTGAGGTTAACAGGGCTTGACTGTGTGACCCCTCTGCCCTCCATGGTCCTTGCAGTGCCTGCTGGACCACGGTGACATTCAGGTCTCCTGGATGTAGTGTCAGTTCAGAGCCAGTGTGTCTTTTCCTTTTCCCCAGTAGCCACCCTGAGAAGGCAGGGCAGCACACAAGCAGCCCAGTTTAATGGTGTCATTTCAGGGTGGGCAGCATAGCCGGGCCTTCCCCAATGACACCAGCTTCTCTTCATTCAAGGAGCTCGGAGTCCTGGGAAGTGACTAATGGGTCATGATTGTCTGTTAGAATTTTGGTCACTTGACCTACAACTTAGCAATCTGTCCATCTGTTTCCTCTTTATGAACATGTGGTGTCTGCAGTCCAGGCAATGTGGAGAAAGCTTGGTCTCTGCTGTCCCTTAAGGTAACCACACCGGTCCAGTCTTTGGGGATTCATTGCCACTTCTAGACCCCAGATGCATTTGAGGGGCCCTTCCCTGCAGAGAGGAGAACCAAGGACAATGGGTCACAAACTTATCCTCACAATCATGAGGTGAGCAGGTCTTACAGGGTAAACTCACTGGCATGTTCCAATTTCCCCAAGCCTTTGGATCCCTCCCTTTAGGCTATATAGGGGCAGAGTTGGCATTTTGACTTTATTTAGTGTGGGCCACCCTCTTGGTCAGTGTTTCAACCAACTGAAGAGTTAGAGCCCTAACCCAAGGAGCCACCACTCTAAGTCCAGAATCTCTGCTTACTGGTCTGTGTCCATAACTTCTGCCCATCCTACTCTTCACACCCCACCTGGTAAGGGCGCCTACAGGCCTTCCGTCCCACACAGGTGTTTCGGAGTTTTGTTTTGTTTTGTTTTGCCAGACTGGTACTGGGGCTTGAACTCGGCCTCCTGTTTGCTGGGCAGGGCTGTACATTTGAGCCACAGCCCGCCCAGGTGCCGCTTTGAGGTTTTCTCTCACAGGCCCTCGCCTCCATGGCCTGGTCCTCCTCCAGCTGTGAGGAGCCCCGTCCTTTCCTGCACAAAGTCTCCCCACTTCTTCGCAATGCTGCCTCCACCCTCACAAAGTGCCCCGGCCTCTGGCTCCATCTTCCATTGTTACAGAGCCTCGGGCGCACACGACGCCTTCCTCCCGGAGCGAGGTCCTTAGGGCGGGAGTCCCGTCCCGCCGTCCTACTGCAGGTGCGTCGCACAGGGCGCCGAAGGCCGCGGCGCCAGCTGCCCCAGGCTTCTCACTTGGAGTCGCACGTCATTCTGCACAGCTGCTCCCGGGCCCTCCCCTCCTCCGTCCCCCTCCCCAGTGTCCTCATCCGTCACCCTGTCCCGCTGCGCCCCGGCTCCTGCGACGAGGCCCTCTCCGCGCCGCGTCCATCCTCCACTTCCTTCTGGGAGGCGCCTGGCGCCCCGGCCCGGCCTCCCTCCACGCGTCCCCCTCCCGCTTCCCGTCCTTCCGCGGCCGCGCGGGGGGCCGGAGGGGCCGGGCCGGGCCCTGGACGGAGCCTCCGCCGGGCGACGCCGCCGCTTCCGCCGCGGGTTCCGGGGCCCCCGGGGGTAATGCCGGGCGGGGGTCCCCAGCGCGCAGGTACGGCCGGGCCGGGCCGGGTTGGGTTGGGTTGGGTTGGGTTGGGTTGGGCCGGGCCGGGTTGGATCGGGGCGAGCGGGGCGGGGCGGGGGGCCTCGGACACAGCGTGGGCCGCGCGCGCTTTCGGAGTTCGGGGAAACCGAGGCGGGGCGCGAGGCGTGCGGGTCCCTGGCTGCCAGCACAGCGCGAGCCCCACCGGGTCCCTGTCCCCGGATCCCAGCGACCGGCGACCCGCGGCGGGCGGAGCGCGCGTGGCCTCCCCGTGCCCGGGCGTGGGCGGAACCCGGGACCCCGCGCGCGGCACCGCCCACTTCCGACGGGGACCGCGACGCCGCCGGGCGCGCAGCTGCCTGTCCCCCGCCCGCCCGCGTGACGCCGGGCCGCCCGCCAGCCCCCCGGGTGACACCGGCTGCGCGGACCGCAGCGCTTCCACCACCGCGACGGGTTTGCGCGCGGAGCGCAGCGCAGTGCGCTTGCTGGGCCTCCTTCTCAGGACATCTTGAGCCTCAGTCTCCCCAAAAGCCAATCCCCTGACCCCACTGGCTCCTTGGCTGGGTTCGGTGAGAAGGCACTTTGGAAATGCGTCATTGTGACTTCGGTCCTAGGCTTAGTTGTGCTTTGACTTCCCCATTCGTGTGGAGCAGATTTGGAACCTACTGGGAAGGGTTGTTAGGGGATGGGGGACAGGAAGTCCCTGGCTCCTGAAGCCTGAGATAGACAGAAGCTCTCAAAAAACCTCAGTTGCTGTTTTTACTAAGCAAGACCTAAATAATTTGGAGTGAAATGGAAGTACCAGAGTTGATTAAAGTATGACTAGCCGAGCATTTAGAAAGAATTCAGTTTTACTGCGCTCAGGCTGGTGCCTGAAGTCCTCGGAGGTTTGGATGAGAATGGGCCTCTGAGCACAAAGAGCCAGGGGCAAACAACAACCAATGCTGGGGGAAAAGGGTCCTTGTACATGAGTCCCTTTTGTGGTGGAATGTCATTAGTGTGGCACAGGGAAAGCAGTGTGGAGATTCCTCAAGAAATAGGAACCAGCAGTACCACTCTGGGGATTACCTGAAGGAGTTCTTATAGAGACTTGATAGATGGGTTAAATAGAGACACCTGCACACCCACGTTCACCTCAACACCGTTCCAATAGCAAACTATGCAATCGGAACTGATGAATGGGTAAAGAAAATGTGGTGGATATGCACAAGGTTATGTATTCAGTCATAGAAGAGTAGAATTGTGGCACTTGCAGGAAAATGGATGAAACTAGACATCATGGCATTAAGTGAAAAAAACCAGCTTCAGAGAGACAGCCATCACGTTTTCTCTCAGAAGCAGACTCTAGGCCTAAAATGTGTGTGCGTGCATGCTCACACTCACACGCAGCACAAATGTGGTTGTGGAACTGTTTGGACAGTATGAGGGGAGGGAGATCGGGAAAGAGAACGTGGGATGCATCCTATAAGATCCTTTGTCCTTATGAAGATAGCAAAATGAAACCCACTGAAAACTTAAAATGGGGATAGGAAAAGAAAGAGCAATAGGGAAGCTAATGTGATTGAGGCACAGTCTATCACAACAGATGCCTGTGTGAAACCCCTTTGTAAAATTAACATACACTAATAAAAGAAGACTTCAGAAAAAAACTTAAAAAGATATAGATACTTCCAAGGCTGAAAACAAAAGAGCCCTGGGTGAAAAACCTGCTTCCCGCACTGTGACCTGGAGACTCAGTTTTCCCATCTGTTTACAGAAAAGATCAAAGAAAACCAAGGCAGTAATTACTGCCTTTTTTTTTATTGTTTTATTATTCATATGCGCATACAGCGCTTGGGTCATTTCTCCCCCCTGCCCCCACCCCCTCCCTTACCACCCACTCCACCCCCTCCCTCTCCCCCCGACCCCCTCAATACCCAGCAGAAACTATTTTGCCCTTATTTCTAATTTTGTTGAAGAGAGAGTATAAGCAATAATAGGAAGGAACAAGGGTTTTTGCTGGTTGAGATAAGGATAGCTATACAGGGCATTGACTCACATTGATTTCCTGGCGTGGGTGTTACCTTCTAGGTTAATTCTTTTTGATCTCACCTTTTCTCTAGTTCCTGGTCCCCTTTCCTATTGGCCTCAGTTGCTTTAAGGTATCTGCTTTAGTTTCTCTGCATTAAGGGCAACAAATGCTAGCTAGTTTTTTAGGTGTCTTACCTATCCTCACCCCTCCCTTGTGTGCTCTCGCTTTTATCATGTGCTCAAAGTCTGCCTTTTGTGGCATACCGTCGCCTGGGGGTCAGACGAGGCAAAGCATCCAAAGGCCGGTGGAGCGCGTCAGTACTCACATGGAGACACCGCTCTGCAGGAGAAATGACACCATCCAGCGGGTGCTGTCTTAGAAAGTCCTTGGCTCAAGTCCTCCCCAAACCTTGGTGGGGCTGGTGTTGCCATCCTTGCTTCCTCAGGGCATGGTTGAGCTTCACAGCCAGCCTGCCTCTTGTCACAGGTCACATGCCTGTTACTTGTGCACCTCTGTGTGGCGGCCTCTCACAACTCAGTCCCTCTCAGCCTTCGGATGAGCGGACGTCAGTGAGTGGAGCGAAAGTTCCCGGTAGACCTGTGCATCCCAATAGACACAGACCCTGCATGTCAGAGTGAATTGTTAGCTCGGGCAGAAGAGACCTTGCTGTAGTCCTAATTTCTTTCATTCCTATTTGGTAAAATCCCATTTTAAACTGTCGTCTTAGAAGAATGAGCCATAAAAAAAGTTTGGAGGGCTGGGGGTGGCGGGGTGGTGGTAGTGCAGAGGCCTTGCCTGGCATTCCCAAGGCCCTGGGTTCCATCCTCAGTATCCCCCCACCAACCAAAAGTAAAAGGGGGGGACATTAAACTTTGAAGGACTGTGTGGAGAGACCGTGTTGCAGATGGTAAAGTGGAATCTGATTGATCTTTTATTTTAACACTTAAATTTGCTGGAAGCCTTAGGGTGGCAGACAGGTGAAGTGGAGGTGGACAGTTTTGCTGCCATGGTTGCTTTGCAGGGCCGAGTGCCAGGACATGGCTGCAGGGACCTCACTGCCACCAGAGGTCTGAGATGTGGGTCAAGGGTGGGCGTGGGGCGTGGGGAGGGGCACGGGACTCTCGGAGAGGAGAGGGAGGCAGGGGCTCTGCTGCAGAAAGTCCCTAGCTCATCTGCTAGTTCAGCTATCTTGACTCTCTATCTTGATTTTCGTTCTTCCAGAAGGGATGGTGGGCTCTCTGTAGGAAGCACAGAGAACTACAAACAAGTCAAAACCACTGCAATCCATCAGCGCAGATAGCTGGTTTGCTGTCTCTGTTCTTGTAATCCGTGTCCATGTCCTGGGCATCAGTTTGTATCTGTTTCAAAGATGGGATGGAAACTGTTACTGTTTTTTGTTAAATGACAAAAGATGGGAGAAACTGATACTTGCTCATAGTTCAAACATGAGGACATTAAGTCAGGGAAAAGAAGCCAATTTATTATGCTTATTAAAACTGTTCTCTTTTAGAACAATCTTAACCTTTGCTGGGCATAGTGGCTCACAACTGCAGTCCCAGGTACTCTGAAGGAAATTCAAGGTCAATCTTCGGCAAAAAGTTACTGAGACCCCATCTCAACCGACAAGGCTGGGCATGGTGGTACACATTCATTATCCCAGCTTTGCACGAGGCTGTGGTGGGAGGATGTGGGTCTGAAGTCAACCCCTGACAAAATGCAAATAAATAAAGAGAAAGAGGGCTGGAAGGCTGGCTCAAGAGCTGGGGGCCATCCAGCAAGAACAGGGTCTTGGGTTCAAGCCCCAGAATCTTAATTTTGGATTGGAGAACTGTCAAGGCATTGTTGTCGATGTTTGAATTTTGTTGTGGTTTTGGTTAAAGTTGGATGCTAGACCTGCAGAACAAAGAGGAGGTACAGTGGTGACTTTAAATGGTCAGACCTAAGGACCAGCCAGAGCAAAGCCAGAGCAGGTGACATTTGAGATTAGGGTCATTAGGCCAGAATAATTCTTTTATAGTAATGATAATTCAGTTTATATGCTGTATTCTTGTGCTGCTCCCAGAGATGTGTTAAGCAGCCATTCTGGGAGGGGAAGGTCCTGTCCTGGCACAGCTGGGCCAACTGTGGTGCCACTTTTCAGTTAGTACCTCTTACTAAAGCAAGACTTCAGCCTTGGGGAGTCTTGTGCTTGTTGTTGACCTAATGACTCTGGTAACAGTTCCTTGGTGAGTGGTTTCTGTGCAGTTCCATGCTGGATCCGTTTCTCTTTGGACATCAGAGCCTGGTGGCTGCTGCTCTCAGACTTTGCAGTCAGTTTCCGGTTTTCACACCAGGCAGGGGAGGACAGGAGAACTGGGGCCACGGGATGAAACCTTTGTATTTGGCTTTGGGAAGTGGCTTGGGCCGTGGGGCGTGCTCAGCAGCACAGTAAGCGCCAGCTCTGTGTCCGGCTTACTTTCCCTGCCTCCTTCCCCTTTGGCCACTTGCCTTTCGTCATGGCTTAGAAGTGGATGGGAACACTGATGTTGTAAACAGAATCACAGAACGTAGGACTGGCCAGGCTTCAAAGGATCAACTGGCTCTGGCAGGTGAGAGGTGGATGTCACCATTTAAGTGCAGCTGCTGATAACTGGTTCCAAAAGAAGCAGTCCTTCCTTACCTTTCCCAGGCCAGCCTCAGGTGAATGTCCCAGCTGCATACGTGGCCTGTGCTTACCCCAAAAACAGTATGGACAGGCTTCTACCCATTCCAGTTGCTGTGTTCACTGGCCATGGCAGTGCTCCTACCCTTTATTTGCAGGTGGGTTTGAACTCTCAAGTGAATGCAGGTGAGGCCCAGTGTGGGGGCCCAAGCTTGTAATCCTAGCTCCACTTCTAGAGGTGGAGATCAGGATCACCATTCCAGGCCAGCCCCTGGGGGATAAAGTTTGGGAGACCCCATCTTAACCAGTGGCAGGGCATGGTGGTGCATGTCTGTTATCCCAGTTACACAGGGAAGC